CATCTTAAAAGTTAACAGAGCAACCCCAAACAACTTGTGCAGAGCTGAATTAGGACAATACCCATTATTAATTAATATTCAAAAGAGAGCTGTGAAATTCCTGCAGCACCTGAAATGCAGTGATCCGAGCTCTTACCAGGCTGAAGCCCTGCAGTGGCAGGAGCAGAATCTGCAGAAGAGCACCCTTTTACAGCAGGTACTCAAACTACACTCAAACCAGCACAGCCCAAATCACACAGTTACAAAAACAAAATTACATTGCCTATTGGAAAGATGCTACTAAAATACAAAAGAAGATGGAGCTGTATTTACACCTGAAAAGAGACTACGAACCATCAGAATACCTGAGCTGTATTTACACCTGAAAAGAGACTACAAACCATCAGAATACCTGAGCTGTGTAAAAGATCACAAATTAAGAAAGACACTAACAAAATACAGAGAGTGAGTGATCACTGTCTGGCTATAGAGAGAGGATTGCACAGACAGAGATGGCAGCCACGAGAATAGAGACTATGTTCACTGTGGAAAAAGAGGAACATTTCTTACTGCACTGTGATTACTACCACTACATTAGAGCTGCATATTTCCCCAATTTCCAACAAATTAAACCAAATTTTATGGCATTACCAAAAGCATTAAAATTGAGTCACATTTTAGGGGAAAATTCCATAATGATCACAACAGCAGCAAGATATGTATCAGCCTGTCACAAACTGACTGTCAGCCAGTGGACAAAACTGAAGCAAGATCATTTCTTACATGTTGTACTGTTGTGCATCACTTGTACAAACATGACTTAAATAATGATTTATTGCTGGTGCAATCATACAGACCCAGTCACTGCATGGCTGCAAGGTATATAAAACATACGACACAAACACACACACAAACTCTTTTCCAGGTCAAATACATTTCCTCAAGGCCACATCCTATGATTTAAACAAAGTAGACAAGCAAGCACAGATTTATAGCATCATTGTTGGAAATTAGGAAAGGGTTCTGTCCTATTATGTTCACCTATCTGTTTAATATGTCTATGGGCAGGGAATAAAGCTTATTTATACTTTTAAGTCAACATATAAAAAATAATGGATGCTGTTTACTTTATACACCTTCCTGTGAATATTTAATCCATGTTAAAACTACTGTGTTTTCCTCACTTAAGCCACACATGCTATTGGATAATGTTTAACAAAAGGCAAAAGCTATAGACATTAGCATTAGACATTAGAATATCATTATATCTAACTACATTTGCAACATTACACCCACGTTTTACCATCCAACCATCTCTTGATGGACAAAAGACATTTCTTCTCACTGAATATCAGAAACATTAGGGAAGTAAAATGGGTTGCAAATTGCAATTTGTTGACTTTAAGAGATAGAAGACTAATATCTTGAATCGGTAACACTGCTTTTAAAATCAGGACTAGAGGACAAAAGGGTCCATTAAAGGAACTGTTTACCCAAAATTAAATCACTTGCTCACCAATGGATCCACTGCAGTGAATGGGTGCCATAAAAATGATCGTCCAAACAGCTGATAAAAACAACACAATAATCCACAAGTAATTCACATGACTCCAGTCCATCAATTAGAGCTGCATATTTCCCCAATTTCCAACAAATTAAACCAAATTTTATGGCATTACCAAAAGCATTAAAATTGAGTCACATTTTAGGGGAAAATTCCATAATGATCACAACAGCAGCAAGATATGTATCAGCCTGTCACAAACTGACTGTCAGCCAGTGGACAAAACTGAAGCAAGATCATTTCTTACATGTTGTACTGTTGTGCATCACTTGTACAAACATGACTTAAATAATGATTTATTGCTGGTGCAATCATACAGACCCAGTCACTGCATGGCTGCAAGGTATATAAAACATACGACACAAACACACACACAAACTCTTTTCCAGGTCAAATACATTTCCTCAAGGCCACATCCTATGATTTAAACAAAGTAGACAAGCAAGCACAGATTTATAGCATCATTGTTGGAAATTAGGAAAGGGTTCTGTCCTATTATGTTCACCTATCTGTTTAATATGTCTATGGGCAGGGAATAAAGCTTATTTATACTTTTAAGTCAACATATAAAAAATAATGGATGCTGTTTACTTTATACACCTTCCTGTGAATATTTAATCCATGTTAAAACTACTGTGTTTTCCTCACTTAAGCCACACATGCTATTGGATAATGTTTAACAAAAGGCAAAAGCTATAGACATTAGCATTAGACATTAGAATATCATTATATCTAACTACATTTGCAACATTACACCCACGTTTTACCATCCAACCATCTCTTGATGGACAAAAGACATTTCTTCTCACTGAATATCAGAAACATTAGGGAAGTAAAATGGGTTGCAAATTGCAATTTGTTGACTTTAAGAGATAGAAGACTAATATCTTGAATCGGTAACACTGCTTTTAAAATCAGGACTAGAGGACAAAAGGGTCCATTAAAGGAACTGTTTACCCAAAATTAAATCACTTGCTCACCAATGGATCCACTGCAGTGAATGGGTGCCATAAAAATGATCGTCCAAACAGCTGATAAAAACAACACAATAATCCACAAGTAATTCACATGACTCCAGTCCATCAATTAACAATTTGTGAAGTGAAAAGCTGCATGTAAGAAACAAATCAATCAATAAAACATTTTAACTTTAAACCGTTGCTTCTAGGTAAAACAGCTCTATCCATAATATTGCCTTCTCTTGAAAAAGAAAAAAAAAAATGCATAGAGATATATGCACAGATCAAGCACAGCCAAAAACAGTTCTAAACAAATATGCTGGTGGATTTTAAAGTGAGAGGACAACAGAGGATGGACTTTTTCACGGGAGGAAGTGATAGTATGGATTGTGGATTTGTATTTTATTTATTTTTTTACGGTTTAAAGTTAAAATGCCTTGATGTACTTTTTTCTAACAAACTGTTCACTTCACAAGGCTTGATGGCACCCATTCACTGCAGATGATCCATTGGTGAGCAAGTGATGTAATGCTAACTTTCTCCAAATCTGTTCCAATGACCCAAAGATCCACCCTCAGGCCATCCAAGATGCAGATGAGTAAATTTCAGCAAATTTTCATTTTTGGGTGAACTATTTCTTTAACCAAAATGGTGTTAATGTGCAGTTAACAAGAAGCCACTAGGAGGCGCTACACATATAGCTGACAAGACTCCAGAGGTTTGCTAATAAATGTGTATGAAAACACATTATGTAATTGATTGTTGACAAGAAATAAAACTATACTGATTTACTCTAAGCACAAGATCACTGTATGTCACAAATCATTTCACACATAAGGCTTTCAGACAATGAAGAACCTTTCAGAGGTAATGTGCACAAGTCAATAGGGCATTAATTAAGACAAAATATGCTAGAAAAACATTATTATTTATCAATAATTGGCAGAGGTCTACAATAACTTTTTCCATATGAAACCGTCAGCTATGTGAAGGTCATCATCTAGATTCTGGGAAGCAGAAATGCACAGATGTGCACATCTGCAATCGATTGCACTATACAGCAAAACAGAGGCATGGACAGAGGCCTGGAAGGAAGGAAGGAAAGCTAGTCTGTAATTGAAAGGGCCTTTAATGTGGATTGGCTGGCTGGGCTGTGTGTGACCTACACTGTGTGTGAGTGTACGTCTACGATCGTATGCTTCTCCAGAATCTCAAACAGATGCTATGGAGTTACATAGGAGACTAGGAACTAAATATGCACAAAGTAGAAAGGGCTGTTCTTTATCTCATCGTATCAGTCAAGGAAAAAAATAAATATATAACTGAACATAATCACTCTAGGGGTGGGCTTTTCATTATTCATCAGCCTTCTTGCAGCACAGCCAATCTCCCAAATGGCCTCTTTCGACTCTAAATCTTAAAAAATGGACTCAGTCACAACAAGCACATACATCTCCACATACACTTATACTACTGCATTGTATATGGGTGCTTTATCTTAGGTCTGACCCTGTCAAGAGAGTGCAATGGATGCCTGATGCTGTGTTTAGTAGCGCTGATTTGTCGCATAACGCTAAGCAAATATTTGAGCACCTGAAATGAAATGCTTGGGAATTTTTCAAGCTCTCAAATCTTCTAAATCTCCTCCTCTCTACAGTTTTGGTTCAGCCTTGATGCTATACTGCAACCCACCAGTTTAAATCAACTGCCAGCTTTGACTTGTACTAGACAGTCACAGCCCTGAAGAACCATTTAAAAAAAAAAAATGTTTAATTTGTCAGATACCACAGAAACATGGCATTTCTGAAATGTAAAATTAAAATTTAAGTGCTGAGTCCATATGAGTCGTGATGATTACCTAAACAGTCTTATGAATTAAATAGAAACAGTTTACAAATTAAAATGAATATTAATAAATATAAAACAAACAAATAAATAAATTTTAAATAGTATCAGTTTACAAATTAAAATATGAAAAATAAATCAAATAAAATATAAATAAGAAAAATAAATCAAATAAAATATAAATAAATGAAAATCAATAGTAGACCAGTTTTACAGATTAAAAAAAAATAAAAAAAAACAGGATAAATGTACATTTTCCAATAATTTTCCAACTTAAGTACCACCTTCATGAAATGACAACCCTCCTCCCCCAAAAAATTAAACCGTGAGATGCAACGCAACTGTCAAAAATGTTGGAAAATAAACCAATAATACAGTGTGAATAATAATAATGATAATAATGGACTGCATGTTTAAAGATATGAAGAAAAAAAATATGTTGACTTCTAAAGCTACTTTTTGTAAATGTATCTGTTTGATTTACTCATCTACCACAATAAATGTCTTTAATTGTCTTCATTTACTCATTTATTCTCTGTCTCCTAAATTATTCTTCTTTTATTCTCTGTCTTCTACATCTGCATGTTAAGTATTGTCCATCTCTACTGTGCATGTGAGGTCTAGTCAGTGACCAAAGGGTCAGGGTCTCTTACTTGCAAACGCCGTCCTCGGCGTCCTCCAGACCAAAGCGAGGATCAAAGGTCAGCTGGATCCTGGAACTTTCTGTGACTGCCACCAGCCGCCACACTATAACTGTATTCCGGGGATAAGTGTTGGGAAAGTCAGGACTTTGAATAATTCCATCCCCAGTGACACTGAGGACCTTCTCGTGTTGAGACTCATGCACTCCTACAGAACAGAGTGAGGGGGAAAAAAGAGGTTTATTAGAACATTTCTGAACCTGCATAACTCACCAGAGTGGAGAAAGAACACACTATACAGTCATTAGTGAATAGTTCTTTCCTTTTTTTCTTAATGCAAATTAACATCAAAAAGGATTTAGCTTCTACTGTTCCACATTAAAGCCCAAATAATATGGATTATGCAGTGCATTGTGTGAATACTAAATAATCGATCACACAACGAAAGGATGAATCAAACTCAAGGCTTCTGTTTTTTATTGAGCATTGATTGACTGCAAACCTGATAATCACATTAAGGGACTGATAAAAGGAAACCACGCAAATGATTTTGCCTTGTCAATGCCATAAAACCAGTAGAATGATGTTCTAACATTTGCTAACACAGCATATGCTTAATGAACCCCTTTGTATCAAAGCAATATTGTGCTTTGATGTTGCTTCACCATAAAAGTTTTCCGTTATAGATCTAGATAAGAACGATCAATCAGTAGCTATAAAGTTTTATTTATAGTGACACTACAGCTGGCAATGACCTTCCTAGCTGTAGCAGTAAGATAAGAATTAATGCTATACTTCAAAAAACATTATTTGGGTGGTGGAAACTTGTGAAGGCTACTAGGACAGATTGTTCTGCTACAATCAATTTTATCTTTAAGAGCTCTGATATTTTAAGTCCAGAGAAATGCAAGGCCGAATAAGTCATTTTGAGCTCAGTGCTTCTGGTTTAGCAGCACGAAAGAGGTAAGGCATGCCAAGAGTTTAGTCGTTTAAAGTACAGAAATGATTACATACTGATTTTACTTGCTACTCTGTTATGACAAGATTTACAGAGTTGTTCCTCCCCAGAGGAAGACAATACAATGGCTTCCTCAATACAGCACAAATAAAATCACCTTTTAACTGCAGCTTTGCCAGGAAGGGAAAATGAGCTCATAATGTGCTGACTTCCAATAGACTTTTCACTTGAAACTGTTATCCAAAGGTCATTCTTAACTCTTAATCCATGTTTCACACTGTTATTCTAGGTTAGCAATTTATCTTGGGTAGTCCGGATATAATATTACATTATGTATTTTTAAAGTTGATATGCCTATTTGCGTTTATGAGATTAAAAACATTGATTGGACAAGTACAACATGCAACAAGCACACAAATGATATAGGCCTAATATATATATATATATATATATATATATATACTTACACTTATCCATCAAAAGAAATGTTGCCATGCTTATCTGCACTGGTTAAGTCTGTTCGCAATCATTGTTCAACATTAACATTTATTTCAGACACAGCAACAATTTTTGTGTGAATGTACATGAAGTGCATGAATATTTAATAAGGTAACCACTAAGGCATTATGATTGGTTGCCTGTTAGATTTAACATCACAATGTTTCACAATGTATAATTTTAGCATTCAGATTTTATAACCCAGGGCCAAGTCAAAAGAAGTGTGAATCACTTCTTATGGTAAAAACCAGCTAACCTGGTAAAAACCAACCTTTACCTGGGATTTAAAAGGGCATTACGCCGGGGTTAAGTGGGGTAAGAAAAGCCTACAAGTCTTTCTACATGTGCTGATACCCTTCAGCCAACATTTCACAACAGTTACATCACAGCAAAGAGAACTAATAAAGAACCAGCCTGAAAATACTGTTCCAAGCTAGGCAAAAATAGTTCTTAGGAAGGGATGCTTGTTTCCTGTCCAATAAAATGTTATTGAATTCTGCAAGAGGATTGAAATCTACTTTATCCTGTTGTACTAGGTTCAGAAAAGATGTTTGATGCAAACAGACAGCTGTTGAAATGCAACACCAGTGCTGGTTTTTACAGGCCTGTCACATTCAGAGCCCACCCAAGGGAAATGCACACAGATTTTCTTTCACGCTCCACTCTCTGAACACACACACACGGCTCCCTCAAATTGTGTGGCAAAGCCAGAGTGTCAATAGGTATCTTGATCTGTTACAGTGATGGTACAAGATCTGTAATGCTCTTTCTGGTCTATCTGGATTATTTAACACTGGAACTATTCACCTTCAAAAGTAACAAAATCCCCCAGCATTTTCCTGTGCTGTATTTGCAGACATCAATACACAATGGATGATAAGCTTTCAAAAATATGAGTGATTGCTTTCTTTCCAGCAAGTGCTAATTATCTTGTAGCACAATGGTACGGTGGCCGAGAAGTGCAAAGCAAATCACAATTCTGAAAACAAAATAACAAAAGGGAGGGCTTTGTTGTACCAATAAGGTGGCATCCATTTAATAATTAAAATTATTATTATTGCATACTGTTTTATAATGTACTACAATACTGAAGTGCAGATAATTGCCACTATTTGCAACAAGTAGTATACTTGATAGTAGAAATCCTGCTATTTTAACAGTGTAAATAGGTATTTGCACTTAGTGTAAATAGCATATTGCTAAAAATACTGCTATTTTCACTTAGTGTAAATAGAATCCATTGCTAATACGAGATTTGAAAAGGGAGGGAAAAAAGGTTTGGCAAAAGGCGGGATCGAACCCAGGTCGATCGCGTCAAAAAGCAAGGGCACGCACTTATCCATCTGTGCCACTGGAGCTGATGGTTTACAGCCACTTTTAACAAAATGTAAATAGACACCCCGTATTTTTTATTCCAGAGTAAGGGCAATTCATACAATACATTTAAACTGAGCTACTTTAATACCATCTCCGAACTTTCTACCACGACTCTGCTGTTCTTCGGCTGGTTCTTCCTGTATACGTTGATTGACAGAATGTCTCGTCCAGTCAGAGGTGAGTAATCCCAAACCAATGGCGCTGTCTCAAACTATACCTACCT